TCCAACTCAAAGTGACCCTGTACAGGGTTTCTAATAAGTAGTTGGTAGGTTTGAACTGCCAACCTTGCAGTCAGCAGTCCAGTGCTTATCCTACAGTGCCATGCCATGGACTATAGAAACTTAAATATAAACACTTACATTCAGTCATGACAAAGAGATTTCTTACATTTACAACCTTGAGTCAGCCTATCTGGGTTGAAATTCTGACTCCACCAGTTTCTAACAGTGCAACCTTAGCTAAGTGACTTCACCTTCCAAAGCTTCAATTTTCTGCCCTTACTGGGAGCAAAGTGGATACCAAAATACTCATAGCACAGAATTGTTGTAAGAATAAACTGAGAAAAAAATAGTATAAAACACTTAAAACAGTACCTGGCACATCATAACAAGAGCTGCTGCCATGATGGTTCCAGCACTGTTAAAAGCCACCTCTCATTGAGTTCAAAGTGTATAGGACGACCTTGAACAGTAGTTTCTTAGGAGCTAAAATAAAGAACCCATCTGCTTGAATGTGCAAAACTCCTCATAACAAGAATGAACCTGGAGGATATTACGCTGAGTGAAATGAGTCAATCACAAAAGGACAACTATTGTATGAGGTTACTATTGTTAAAGGAGACCTGGTGTGGCACTATGGGATAATGCACCAGACTGCAAAGTCGTTTGAACTGCAAGGTTGGCTGTTCAAGGTCACCAACTGTTTCTTGGAAACCCTATACAGGGTCGCTATGGGTCAGAATCGACTTGATGGCACTTCACAACACTCATTGTTAAAAGCCAAGAAAAGGTTTTCATACTAAAAGAAACATTATTTGATGGTTACCAGGGGTGGGAGGCATGGGAGAATAATTCACTGACTAGAGGACAGACATGTGTTAACTTGGGTTATGGGGAAGGCAATACACAACAAGAGGGAGGTTTGCAGAAGAATGATGACGGTAGGGAAAGAGGAGAGCTAGAGTTAAAGGAATAGAGATCAATACTGTTATATATACAATCCTGCAATAACAATGATCTACGGGTAGATACATGGACAGAGACACAGGCTGAATGGATAGGGGAGGAAGAGTGGGAGTCTACTCACAAATAAAGATTTGACAAGCTATTTGTACATGAGTATTTACCTTTGCTGCAAACATAGATCCATGAATGTGGTAGAGCATATAGAGAAAAATTTATAAAAACTACTTAGATATTACCAAACACCTTGAGGGAATGAGTTGCTGGGTTGAAGGCTCGGGACAATAGTCTCAGGTGACACCATGGTCAGCTGACATAACAGGGTCCACAAAGACAATATTTTCTATCTTACTTTGGACTCCTGATGTGGTGCTGTAGGATCAGCCCTGGACTGCAGACCACAAGGTTAGCAGTTCAAACCCACCAGCAGCTCCTTGGCAATGCTATACAGGGTCACTACGAGTCAGAACAACTTTGGTTAGTAGCAATTGGGATCTTAAACGCTTATGAGTGAACATCTAAGATATAATTATAGGTCTCTCCCTGTGCAGAGGAAAAAAACGTGATGAAAATTGAAGATGCTTGGAATCAATTAGTCCAATGGATTAATGGACCATGCGAACATCAATCTCCACAACTCTGAGACCAGAAAAACTAAATGGTGTCCAGCTGCCACTACTAACTGCTCTGATAGGGATCACATTAAAAGTTCCTGGAAACAGTAGGAGAAAATGTGAAACAAAACTCAAAACTTAAAAAAAAGAAAAAAGGTCAGGTTGACTAGACAGAAAGAGAATGACCATTGGTCACCCTTCAGGTCTGAAATTCTGAAATTGAACTCACCCTCATGACTCAATTTCCAGAAAAGCAGTTTGTTAGGTGTCATTGAGTCGATACCTACTCATAGTGACCTTATGCACAACAGAACGAAACACTGCCCGATCCTGTAGGTAGGTACACATGGGGGGACAATAACACTAATGAGGTAAGCACACCATATAATGGTCAATCATTCAAGACCAAAAGGACAGGATTTACCTAAGCACAACATTCAGAAGCATTGGGAAAGAAGGCTGAAAGGAAACAAGAATCACAGGAGAAAGTGGGGACACAGACGTTACATGAAAGGGATTGCAATCATTGAAATGAAACAGATCTATGATTTGTTGAATGTAAAACTGATGATCTGCTTTGTAAGTTTTCACTCAATTCACAACAAAAGAAGTTTTTTTTTAATTTCATAACATCAGAGAAGACTAAACAAACCAAAAAAAGCCTGCTATGAGTCAATTCCAACTCATGTGACCCCATGTGTTTTAGAGTAGAGCTGCACAGCATAGGGTTTTCAAAGGCTGTGAACTTTCAGAAGCAGATCTCCAAGCGTTTCTTCTGAGAGGCCTCTGGGTAGACTCGAACCTCCTTTTAATTAGCAGCCAAGTACAAGCAGTTTGACAGGATATTTGACCATCACTTGCAGATTAGATTAGAAAAAAAGCCATTCTAAAATTCAGCCAATGAAAACCCTTTGGAAAAAAGAAAATTCTTTGGAACATAAAAGTCAGATCTGCAACCAATCATGGGTATGGCACAAAAACAACATTTCATTCCATTGTGCTTGGGGTCGCCATGAGTCAGGGGTTTACAGCAGCTAACAACAACAACCAGCACTTGGGGTTCACAAGGCCCTGATGCTGAAGGAACACAACTTTGAAAAGCCATTGATTGAGTGAAACAGCCTCAAAACCTCAAATCAGGATTATACTGCCATCTAGTGCCCAAAACACAGCAAATGCCTAAATTTCAGTGATAGGGCCTATCCTTTTTTTTTTTAACTTTTGTTTGCATTTTAATTTTTGTTTCTTCAGTTTCTTCAAAAATATATTTTTCTTCTGTGTAAACTCCTCTTCTGGATTAGGAACAATTTGTTCCTTTTCAGTAAGAATCATCTCCTTATAGCAGGACGAGCTCACATAGGGGTTGATCTAACCATAGCTCTGTAAGTACTGAGGCACATCTTAGGGATTTAGTTCACTTTGTGCTCAATGACTAAAGAATCTACATCTAAACCCTTAAGATCAATATTATGCTCTGCATTTTCAAGAATACATAGCAAAAACTCAGCACTCTTTTTGGACCACCGACTCTTTGTCCAACCCCACTATTAACCCAACCATTGTAACGCCAGAACAGCACACACTGGTTCTGCAACGTGACATCTTTCAGGTAATTGGTGGCTCTTCAGATATGCATACCCTTGATGGCCTGGACAGTTTCGCAGGTTTTATTAAAATTCAAAGATTTGAACCTCTTGATTTGCATAATTTTCTTGGTCAAAGGAGTAGCGAATCATTCTGTGGGATCACCTCAGACCGCTTACAGAAAGAACCCCTTGCCCTTTCCTGCCCATTCCCCATTCTCCTTTTCCACTCCACCGCTTGGCTTCCCCAAAGCTTCTAGCTCATTCACACTGTTTTGCTCTCAGTAGCTCCTTGTGCCTGGCATACAATTCTCTTCACCCTCTCTGATATGCTAGACATACACCAACTCCTCTTCAAACACTCAATTCAAGTTTCGCCTCCTCTAAGAAAGCTTTCTAAGGCACCAAACTGCTCAAGTCCTTTTTGTGGGCCCTGGTCACCACCTACAGTACAGCTCTTCCAACACTGCGTATATTTGCCTCTCCCCTTCTCCACAGATTCTTCCTCAGTACCCAGTCCTTGTCACAGAGCACTGCTGGTATTAGCAGGCCATCACTATGTGTTTGACAGTGAATGCACAGGATAGTAAAGGGGGAGTAAGATGAGATAGCAATTCTAAAGCGACCAGTTCAAAAACAGCTCGTCACTGCTAATATAATAATGCTTCATAATTGATTAAATATTTGTAATCCCTTCATTGCCTTTGAGGCTAATAAACATATGCACATACTACCCTGTTGTTGAGTGCCATCAAGTCTGTTCCAACTCATGTGACCTTGTATAGGATTTCCGGTGTTGTGCTATAGGATAGGCGCTCCACCACGAGGTCGGTTTGAACCACAAGGTGGCAGTTCAAACTCACTAGCCACTCCTTGGAAACCCTATACAGGTTCGCTATGAGTCGCAGCCAACTCAAGGAGACACTTAACAACAACAACAAAGGCATTGATTTAGAACCGCCAGCCTTGCAGTTAATGATCCAGTGCTTATCCTACAGTGCCACACCAGTATCCAGCATTTCCACTTCTAGATATTTACCCAAGAGAAAGGAAAATCTATGTCGACAAGAGACATGCAGAAAGGTGTTCAATAGTCACTGCTTTATGTATATAGTAGCTAATAGCTAGAAATTACTCAAATGAATGAATAAAAAGTGATATGTTTATGCAATGGACTACTACTTAGCAACTAAAAGGAAAGAACCTCATGGCTCAATCACATTATGAATACATATTGAATAAATAAATAGAGAGAGAGAGACTCCTGGTGTGGCGCCGTAGGATCAACACTGAACTGCGAACCACAAGGTCTGCAGTTCATACACAACAATTGCTCCATGGAAACCCTATACAGGGTCGCTGAGTCGGAACAAACAATATAAATCTGGTGGTGGTGCTTATGTGCTCTGGAGTCGGTTCGGCATCATAGCGGCCCTGTACAGTGTTTCCAAGGCTGTAAATCTATTTCGAACTGCTGACCTTGAGGTTAGCAGCCTGATTTGTAACCACTACGCTCCCAGAGCGCCTTAGTATAAATCTAGAAAAGGAAAATGTAATCTATAGTTACAGAAAGCAAAGTGTAGTCCTAAAATCTGAGCATTTTTCAGTCTATATATAATTGATAATTAAGGAGAGAGGGAGGGAGCAGTGCTCGCTACAGACCTCTTGCTACAGGCCCCTAAAATCCGGAGGGCGGGTTGAGGCCCGCGGCCGCTGGGAGTGCACTGACTCCAGTCGAACGCCAGGCGGCAACGTGGTTCCGGGAAGGACGACTTGCGCGGCAGTGGCGCCGGGGAAGCGGCGGTGAGGGGGCGGGTCCGTGAGCTCCAGTCCATGTGGGCGCCGGCGCTGAGGGCCGCAGCGCGGGGTCACCATGGCGGAGCTGCAGCAGCTCCGTGTGCAAGAGGCAGTTGACACCATGGTGAAGAGTCTGGAGAGAGAGAACATCCGGAAGATGCAGGTAGCGGGGCGGGAGCTGAACCTGGGATCCCCTTCCCTCGGGCCTGGATTGCCGGACCATTCCCGCAGTCGCCTCGCGAGGCCCACTCGCCGTTCCCCTCCCCGCAGATCCCGGCCAGGACGTCCCTGGGGTCACCGCGGCACGCTCGAGAACACGCCTCACCAAAAGACTTCTGGAGCTTTTGCTGATCAGATGAAACCAGTGCAACCCTCGTCCTGCGCACGGCCATTTTCCACCTAATCCAGATTGAGCGAAAGGGTGCCCATAGGCCAGAGTTAGGAAACCCCTAGTGTGAGGCGTTCGTTTCCCTTATCCTCCTTTCCTACACTACCCTTTCTGCAGCCGATGCTCAGAAAGGACACCGCCAAGGTGAGAGACCGGAAAGGCGGAAGCGCCCAGCTTCCCTGATAGGTCTTTCCTAGTTCGGTTGCAGCGAACTTTTCATCACGCAGCGCTGGTCTCTATGATGATCTGCTTTTACCCCCTAAATACTGACCTCTTATCTGGGTGTGGTACAGGTACCTGGTTTTCATAACTTGGCTTCACCTGATCCACTCTCAGCCATAGATGCAACAAGTGTCAATGAACCAGCCACTAGAAGGTTATAAAAGCCTTAACTAGGCACCGAGGATAATTTTTCGTGATTTTAAGATTGTAGTGTCTATTAGTAAGGATCTCTGGTAGCGTAATGGATACGAATCGGGCTGCTAACCTTAAAGTCGGCTGTTCGAAACTAGCAGATGTTCTGCGGGAGAAAGATGAGACTTTCTGCTCTCGTAAAGATTTGCAGCCTTGGAAACCCTGTACAGGGTTATGAGTCGGAACCGACTCCATGGTACTTAACAATATTAATAAAAGGATGCAAAAACAGAAAATGGAAAGGGAAGTGTCAATCTGTGTCCCCTTAGCCTTACCTGCCTAACCTAGTTCTGCCCTGCCTCCCCAGGGCATCATGTTCCGGTGTAGTGCCAACTGTTGTGAGGACAGCCAGGCATCCATGCAACAAGTGCACCAGTGCATTGAACGCTGCCATGCACCGCTGGCTCAAGCACAGGCCCTTGTGACCAGTGAGTTGGAGAGGTTCCAGGTGAGGAGCATCTTAAATGGAGGCCTCTGGTTAGGAGACCATTGATGTTGTTTTTTTTCTGCAATTGACAAACATTTGTTTAAAATTCTTGGCTTTAATGTCTTGGATTTGTGCTGGATATATGGTGTGGCACTGGAGGATAAGTACTGGACCACAAGGTAAGTTTGAACTGCAAGATTGGTGGTTCAAACTCACCAGCTACTCCTCAGAAACTCTAGACAGGGTCACTATGAGCCAGACTCAAAGGCACTTAGAAACTAACTTAATGTGGCTGACAAGAGTTCTCAAGGGATTTGAAATTTGGGGGAAAGGCCTGGAAATTGAATAGTTGAACCACAATTTCTCTTAGAAACACTGTTGTAAAAGGATAATATGTTCATGACCAACAGTCTTCTGTTTTTTTTCTCTCTCTCTCTGTTTCTCTTTTTTGCCTTCAGCACCAAAAAAGACAATTCAAGGCCACCTAGAGGTACCTTGGAAGAAAGGTGTAACTGACTGTCTCCGAAAAATCAGCCATTGAAAACCGTAGCGAGCACAGTTCTATTCTGACATATGGGGTCGCCATGACACTGAATCGACTCAACAGCAATTGGTGGTGGTGGTAAAAGCATATACTAATTGACAAGCATATTTTTAAATAATAGCTGGCTCGCCAAGAGGCTGGGTTAGGGCAGTCTGAAAAGGTGACCTTAGAGCAAATCCTTACCACCCAGGACTGTCCCTAAGTGCTATACCCAAAGGGAACCTCTGTATCAGTAGGGAACAGTCGTTGATAGGAACCATTACTGTTATTGACTCTGTGATGCCTGGTTCACCAGCCCCTCCGAGGTTACTAAAATAGCTCTGTTTTTCCTCCTCTGGAGTGAAGGGTATCCACAATTTCATTTGCTTCTTCCTCTCAGTATATTTTTCTACCGCTTGGGGAAAAGGCCTATTTCTGAACCATTCTTTCATAGCCTGAGATTCCACACACAAGAAAATTATATTTAATATGATGTATTTTTACATTCTACTGTACAGAATTCCTCAGAATTTCTACCATTGTAAAGGAGTAATTTCTCCAAAACCATAGAATTCCAAAGGGTTCCTTTGTTTTCTTCTTGACAGCTAAATTTGTAGATTGACCCTTTGAAAACTTGATTCTTATATTGTATAGAAGTTTGACCTTCCATTCTCTACAGTCCTCTCCAGCCAGACTTGCACTCTTTTCCTGTGCCACAACTGCTTTGCTACTTGCCACCATGATGCTAAATCGGCCAATCCATTTCTCAATCCGCATCTTACTCGGCCTGTCTGCATCCCCACCTCTTTAAAACACTTGTTAACTTGGCCTCCATAACACCTCACTTTCCTGGTTTTCTTCCTCCCTTCCAGACCATCCTTTCTTGGCCTCCTTTGCTGATTCCTCTCCAGTCCCTGAGCATTGGAGTGTCCAAGGCAGTCCTTGGACTTTTTCTATCTACTTCTCTAGTCTTAAACAGTATCTGTATAATCTGCCTGCTCACAATTCCTACATTCACATTCTAGATGACACTTTGCACATGAACTCCAGATTTCTATAGCCATATGCTTCCTCAGTACCTTTCATCTACACATTTTTATCTCTCTTGCCTCATTAAATGTAAGTTCTTTGAGAGCAAGAACTGTTTTACTCATTACTTTAACATTCTCAACATTAGAAGAGTGCCTGGCACATGACAGATGCACAGTAATATTTGTTGAATTAAGTTTTTCTATAGCATGGACAAACATTAAAGAAACAAAATGTTTTGTAAATCTTGGTGTAGTTTTGGACCGTAAGCCACAGTATCTACTAGCCTCCTGCAAGCACTGTGTATAGTTTATTCCATCATTCATCTGCTTTCTGGTTCTGCTTTGTCTGGACATTTCTGGCACCACTCTGTTTCAGTCAGAATGTTGTTGTTAAGTGCCACATCGATTCAGGTCCTACTCATAGGGTTGCTTTTTTTCTGGATAGGATTTCCGAGACTGTAAATCTTTACGGAAGTAGAAAGCCTCATCTTTCTCCCATGGAATAGCTGGTAGTTTTGAACTGCTGACCTTGAGGTTAGCAACCCGACTGGGGACCAAAGCTCTTTGGTGAGTTTCAATAGTCTTGGGTAAAACTAAACCAGTTGCCAGTGAATTCCAGGTGTGTGTTCTATAGGGTTTTCAGTGGACGATATTTTGAAAAAAAGATTGCTGGATCATTCTTCCAGGTACCTTTGACTGAATTCGAACCACTAACCTTTCAGTTAGTAGCTAGCTGAGTGTTTAACCATTTGCACCACCCAGGGTCTCTCCTACCTAATCTTGGATAACCGTACTATGAAAATAAAGCAAAAACAAGTTTTCATCAATCAACTCCAACTCATAGCAACCCCATCTGTGCCAGAATAAAAATGTGCTCCGTAGGATTTTCAGGGACTGACTTTTTGGGAGTAGATTGCCAGGCCTTTCTTCTGAGGCACCTCTGGATGGACTCAGACTTCCAGCTTTTTGGTTAACAGCTAAGTGTGTTAACAATTGACCAGAGATTCCAACCACCCAGGAATCTCAAATGCGCTATGTGTCTCTTTAATTGGTCGAGATAACGTGTGAAGGGACTTCAAAGAGTTCAGGAAAAATTCCATTATCTTTAAATTCCGTGAACTTTTTGAAGTCACCTCGTATGTTGAGCTTGCAGCACAGGAGGACTTGGCACATGAAAAGCACTTGATAAATGGAAGCAGCCTCTCAACTTTCTCTACCCTTTTCCTTCTTGCCACAGGACCGCCTAGCCCGTTGTACCATGCATTGCAACGACAAAGCCAAAGACTCAATGGATGCAGGGAGTAAGGAGCTACAGGTGAAGCAGCAGCTGGAGAGCTGTGTGACCAAATGTGTGGACGACCACATGCATCTCATCCCATCCATGACCAAGAAGATGAAAGAGTCTCTCTCATCCATTGCAAAATAAAAGTCTTCATCAGTGGTCATTGGGGATAAGGGCAGGAATCTACATAAGATGTAGAAAGGAAATTTGGGTTTTTAAAAGTGAAGTTTATGAATGAAAAAATTTATGATGGCAGGAAGTTTAAGGAACATGTCTCCTGGTTCTAGATACTGGTTCTTTTATAAGTTTGAAGCCATAGCAGGGAAAGTGGGAAAAACTGGTGCTAAAATTTGGGTTTGCGGTAGCACAAGATAGTTATTTCAAGCCTAAATTGTGTGTGGCAAGTGCATATGCTAGTAGTAGGTATCTCCCTTGCTTTTACCAAACCAGAGCCCTCCGAGGCACCAGATTCTCTTTACTATTCTGGTACCACCGACCGGCAGGCTCCTCCAACCTGCCTGGTTGGAGTTGTTTTCAAACTCGACCAATAAGCTGGTAGAGTTTGAAAAGAGGTATGTCTGTTTGTTGCCCGCCTTGTGTTTACAAGAAGTATCACCATCTGATATTCCATAAACTATAAAACAAAATCTGTAAGATCACTAATTCAGAAGTGGGATAAACAGATATCTGAGTCTTTGTTTTGATTGGTTGTGTTTTCGATACAAGGACCTGAAATTGATATCATTAGGAGACAGGGTATAGATAAGAACTTGGAAAAGCTCCTTGGCCATCATCTGGCTGTCAAACTGTACTTTTCTTGAAATTTTTAAATGTTGCATCCTTCAGTGTGGAGGCATGAGAGGCAGTGTCACGCTGCATATAGGAAGTCAGTCGAGCTTCCTTCTCACTGGCTATCATGGTGACCCTGGGGCTGTGTGCAGTAGACAGTCTTGCAGTGACACTCTTCCCCTTGAAGGAAAAGGGGGTTTTGATTGTGATATGTACCAGTATCTGGAAATGAACAGTGAAAGAAACTGTTGGCTGCTTAGTTAAGGAAGTTGAACTAGATTTGGAAAGGCAGTTTTTCGTAGACCAGAACAAAATGAAAGCCCAGCCCCAGTATTGCTTACTTATTCTTCTGGTTGTTAGTTAGCATCAAGTGGACTCCAACTCCTGGCATGTATCACCTAACACAAGGTTCTCCAGACCTGTGCCATCTTCATGATCACTGGTATGGCTGACACCATTGAGACTCTGTCTCACTGAGGGGTTCCTCTACCAAACATAATGTCCTTTTCTAGTGATTACTCTTTCCTGGTAACAAGTCCAACTGCTTATTTAACCAATAAGAGCCTTGTTAGCAACATGAAAGTCAAGGGAGAAAAAGTAAGTGACTCAGGGGCTAGAGAGAGCTGTGACTCTTTGGAAGCAAAGCAGAAGCGGCTCCTCCTCACCAAATACCACTTATGCGGTATGCAGTGTTCCAACTTCACTGACACCTAATTTTGATAAGGTCACCTTTCTACCAACTTACTACTTGAAATGATAATGTAGCCTGTCTGTTTGCTGTTTCAAGGCTGTGATATATTTTCCTAGTAGTTAAATTAAAAGTTTTCATTTTTCCCACACTCTTGTGTTTCTTTCCTCATGTCTAAGCAATGACTTGTATTATTTTTTCAAGGTGCTTCTCCTTATAATGTGTGAAATAAGAGTTTTCTTTAGATGTCCAGAAGAGTTGTTGTTTTGTGCCCTGGAGTCGGTTCCAACTCATAGTGACCCTGTACAGTGATCCTGTAAGTCTTTACGGGAGCAGAAAGCCTCATCTCCCGGTGGTAGTTTCGAACTGCTGTCCTTGCTGTTTGCAGCCCGATTCATAACTACTACGCTACCAGAGCTCCTTGTCCATAAGAGTAGCAGTAATTTTGTGCTATTGTTCAGATGCAATACTCTTTATCATTGTACAATGACTTTAAGTCCATTAATGTAAAAAAGAATGTCTAGGATTTTGAGTACCAAAAGAATACAAAATACTTAATGAGCTTAACTACGTTCTTTAGTATAATTGGTATTAAAGTAGAGCCATTCTGAACATTAAGAATAAATTTTCATTGTAGCGAACCACACCTACTTAGAATCAGCAAGGTATTTAATGCAGAAATGAACTCTTTTCTATTTTGACCTAACTCTTTGGTTGTTGTTATGTGCTATGGAGTCGGTTCCGATTCATAGTGACTGTGTACAGGGTCACAGTGACCGTGTACAGGGTTTCTGAGGCTGTAAATCTTTGCGGGAGCAGAAAACCTCTTCTTTCTCCCGCAGAGCAGCTGGTAGTTTTAAACTGCTGACCTTGCAGTTCTCAGCCCGAAGCGTAACCACTAAACTACCAGAGCTCCTACCTACAGAGTCGCTATTGTCAGAATAGACTCGTCGGCACTTAACTCCAAAGAGTACAGGCGTGATGGTTCTGTACGATGAGATTCTCATCTTCTGTGCAAAAGACCCAAGTTTGGTTAATTCTTGGCTAATGCACGTTTTTTGTTACATGCGAGTCTCGAATAATATAACACCGTTTTGCTAGTGGAGACTTGCATGTTCCTATGAATGAATGCTGAACAGGCTTCAGGTGAACTTCCAGACTAAGTAGGTAGTGTAGCTACTTCCGGGGAAAATCAGCCAATGAAAACAGGGATTACAATGGCCAGGTTCACGTTGTGCCTGGGCTAGTCAGGCCGACTGAACAGGCGGATAGCAGCAATTTTTCCATGGTTTGTTTTCATTTGATGTCTACAATTCTTAACGGACATATAGGATTGGCTTATGTACCTCAGAAACTAGAGGCAGAACCGTTACTTCAATTTTGCATAGGAGAAAACGGAATTGAAAAAACATTCCTGACCGTCCCTTACCAAAGCCGGAAACGCGGAGCTTTCGGTAAGTATCGCGAGATGAAATGTGAATTGCCAGAATGAAGCGATTGGCTAACAGGATATATGACGTCAGACGCAAAAACCGCCAGCCGACCGCGGGAACGTGAGGAGGGAAGCCGTGGAGTCTTGTTTCAAGGCAGCTCTGAACCATCCGAGAAGGCAAAATGAGCAAAGCTCACCCGCCGGAGTTGAAAAAGTAAGTATATGTCCAGGCCGACTTGAAGTGGCAGTCTCTTTGATTGCCACTAGTTCCTTTAACGCCTCCCTCCATTTCCCATCAGCGTGCCTCAGCGGGCGTAGGCCGAATGAGTCTGGTCGGAGGCACCGGAATGCGGGCCAGGGGCCTAGAGCCCGCGCGAACGCCGCATTTCGGCCTGGTTCCCAAAAGAAGAGGGGATGCCCCATTTCTGCCAGTTTGCTTTCCTTATCCCCAAGCAACAGGCCCTACATCTTTATGTCTTGTTAACTTTCGTACCTGGACACCATCCTTTGTTGAACATCGTGAATCGCATCATGTGGCTGTGAATAGTCAAAAGCTGCTTTAATCTTGCCCTGTTAGAGCATTTACTTAGAAATCCAATTCCTTTTTCTTGCCTTCCTAGTCTTAAACTTGAATGCCTTGTGCTATCTGCTCTGATTATCAGAGTTGTGTAAAAGCATTTTTTTCAACAGAGAAGGGTGAGTTTGGGCTTTTTCTCCCTGCACCTGGTAAAATCACACCGAAGTGTTCAATAGGATAGGACCCCAGTTTGAAGCTGGTTGAGTGAACGTAATATATTCCGTGTCTCCTGAGTAGTACCTTTCTTACTTACACCACGTAACGCTGGAATTCTGGCTGTAGTAGTGGAGTTGCACAAAGGGTTAAGTATCCAGGGATCAATTTTTGTGGATCAGACTTAAGAGTTCGTGGTTAATAATTTTATGTTTTAATGCACTTCTTAATTAAAGCCAGATTTTGTATGTAATATTTTCATTCGTTTTGGTTAGCTGTGTTTACTTTTTAAAAATAAAATTTTTTTAATCTAAAATGTATCCCTTTATTGGTGGACTGGTAAATTCTTGTGTCCATAGGATTCATCAGGAACTGGTGAAATGGTATTTTTTAATCAAAGGACCATTCTAACTGCATTGCAGATTTAATTTCTGATTCTTAACATGTTATTTGATTTCAAGAGAATGAAACTAGTTTTGCTATCTTCCTCTTCTAATCCCTGGAACACCATCTTTCACAACTGTTTACCTTCCTTCTGGATTAGCATAACTCAGTGGTTGTCAACTTGGGGAGGAGGTTCTGATGATACCTGTATCCAGTGGGCAGAGCCAGAACAGCCACAACAAAATGTCAATGATGCCAAGGATGAGCTACCCTGGCCTAGCTGAATTTTCCCCCTTAACTCTTAAAAATTACTTCCAGAGATAAATTCTGTTTTAATAGCTTCTCATTTTGGCAGAATAAAGTCCAGCCTCCTTGACACAACATTCTTATATCTTCACCAAGGACATCATCCATTTTCATACTTACTAATATTTGACAACTGGTGTGACACTGTAGAATAAGCACTGGACTGCCATCCACAAGCTCTTCCTATCAAATCTACTAGCACTTCTCAAAAATCCTATGCAGAGTCATTTTGAGTCAGAACTGACTTCACCACACTTAATAAATATTTGAAAATCTTGTTTTCTAGGCAAATTGAATCATTTGCTCAGACTTTTCCACTCACCTGATTTGTGACTTTGAACTGTTTGCTTAACCTTAAGCCCAGGTCACTATGAGTGGGAACCAACTCAGCAATCCTGTAAAGGGTTTGCAAGGAGCACCTGGAGGGTTTGACCTGCTGGTTAGCAGCACAATGCTTGTCCTACCGTAAAACGTTGTTGTTAAGTGCCGTAGAGTCGGTTCCAACCCATAGCAACCCTGTATAGGGTTTCTGAGATACAGCTGGTGAGCTTGACCTACCGACCTTGCAGTTCATAAGGCTTCACAGTCTGGTGCATTAACCCACAGCATCACACCAGGACTCATATACCAGGTGGTAATTTATTGTTGTTGGTAAGTACCATTGGATAGTGATCCTATGTATAGTTTCCAAGGAGCAGGTGGTGAATTTGAACCACCAATTTTATGGTTCAACCTAATGGTTTATCCTAATAGAATAATAATCAAGTGCTTTAGCCTAATAGAATACAATTGACAGACTTATTGAATGTGTCCATATATAATGTATACTATGGAAATATACATTTTACTCTATAAATCTTTCTGTTGTACCTGTTTTTATTCACACCTTCTGTTAGGCCCTGTGACTTCATTATCTTTGGATTCTCCCATGATGTTTTTTACTCTATAAGTATGAATGAAATTTTATAATTTTCTAGCTTGAGAGCAACTATAAAAGACTGCATGATTTAATGAGATAGGATTTCTTTTCTTTTTTCATTCAAATTGTTTAGCTCCAAAATAAACATTTATTTTTGCCATGAGACCAAAAGTGAAAATGGTGGTGGTGGTGGTGTTAGGTGCCATCAAGTTGGTCCCAACTCATAACGACCCTATGCACAACAGAACGAAACACTGTCTGGTCCTCAGAATCATTGCTACATTTGAGCCAATCTCAGATACCACTGTGCCAATCCATCTTGTTGGGGTCTTCCTCTTTTGCTCGGACCCTCTATTTTAACAAACATAATGTCCTTCTCCACAAACTGGTTCCTCCTGACAATGTGTGCAAAGTATGAGAGATCGAAATCTGGCCATCCTGGTTTCCATGAGTATTCTAGCTATACTTCCAGCACAGATTGGTTTGTGTTTTTGGAAGTCCATGGTACTTTTAATATAATATTCTCTTTAACACCATAGCTCAAAAGCATCAATTCTTGTACTGTCTCCCTTATTCTTTGTCCAACTTTCACATGTATGTGAGGCTACTGAAAACAGTATGGCTTGGGTCAGGTGCACCTTAGTCCTCAAACTGACATCTTTGTTCATCAACACTTTAAAGAGATCTTGTGCAGCAGCTTTGCCTAATGTAATATGTCCTTTACTGTTCATTACTGTGGCTTACATGAATGTTGATGTTTGATCCAAGCAAAATTAAGTCTTTGACAACTTCAATCTTTTCTCCATTTATATGGATATTATTTATTGGTCCATGGTGAGAATTTTTGTTTTCTTTACATTGAGGTACAACCCATACTGAAGGCTGTGGTCTTTGACCTTCATCTGTTTTTTAAGTTCTCTTTGTTTTCAGCAAGCAAGGTTGTATCATCTGCATATTGCAAATTGTTAACAAGTCTTCCATTCTAATGCCACGTTTTTCTTCATATAATCCAGCTTCTTGGATTATTCATTCAGCATACAGATTAATTAAGTATGGTGAAAGAATGCAACTCTGGTGCACACCTTCTAATTTTAAACCATTTAGTGTTCCCTTGTTCTCTTCAAACAACTGTCTCTTAGTCTATGTACAGGTTCTTCATGAGCACAATTACGTGTTCCAGAAAACTCATCCTTCCCAATGTTGTCCATAGCTTGTCATGATCCACACAATCGAAAGCCTTAGTGTAATCAGTAAAGCACAGGTAAACATCTTTCTGGTATTCTCTGCTTTCAGCCAAGATCCATTTGATGTCAGCAGTGATAATCCCTCATTTCATGTCCTCTTCTGAATCAGGATTGAACCTCTGGCAGTTCCCGTTCTATATATGGTTGCAGCCGTTTTTTAATTCTTTTTAGCAAAACTTTGCTTGCATGAGCTATTAATGATACTGTCCGATGATTATTCCATATTCCATTGGGTCACACTTTGGAATAGGCACAAATATGGATCTCCTTCCATCAGTTGGCCAGGTCTCTCAAATTTCTTAACATAGATAGATGAGTGCCTCCAGTGCTGCATCAGTTTGTTGAAAGATTTCAGGTTGTATTCCATCAGTTCCCAGAGGCTTGTTCTTTGCCAGTGCCTTCAGTGCACCTTTGACTTCTTTCTGTATCATGGGCTCTTGATCTTATGCTACCTCTTCAAATGGTTGAACAGCGAACATCTCTTTCTAGTACGGTGACTCTGTATTCCTTCCATCTTCTTTTGATGGTTTCTGCATCATTCAGTATTTTGCCTGTTGTTAAGTGCCATCGAGTCATTTCCGACCCTGCATAGCGTTTCCAAGGAGCAGCTGGTGAGCTTGAACCACCAACCTTGCAGTTCAAACAGCTTTGCAGTACTCCATTTTGCCCATGGAACCCTTCAATATTTAAAGTCGAAGTTTGAATTACTCTTCATTTCCCTCAGCTTTAAGAATGCTGAATGTGTTCTTCCCTTTTTGGTTTGCTAACTCCATCCAGATCTTTGCACATTTCATTATAATATTTGAGTTTGTCTTCTCAAGCTGCCCTTTGAAATTTCCTATTCAGCTCTTTTACCTCCTCATTTCTTCCTTTTGCTTTAGCATCTCTACCCTGGAGAGAAAGTTTCAAAGTGTCTTCTGACATCCATTTTAGTCTTTTCCTTTCTTGTCTTCCTAATGACCTTTTGCTTTCTTCCTATATGATGTTTATTTTTATGTCATTCCACAACTCTTCTGGTTTTCACCTTTTAGTGTCTAAAGCATCAAATCTGTTATTGAGATGATCTCAAAATTCAGGTGGTATATATTCTGGGTCATATTTTGGCCCTCGTGTACTTTTTTTTTTTTTTTTAATAGCCTGAATTTCCATATGAGCAATTGATAGTCTGTTCCACAGTCTGCCCCTGACCTTGTTCTGGCTAATGATACTGACCTTTTCCACTGTCTCTTTCCACAAATGTAGTCAATTTGATGTCTGTGTATTCCATCTGGTGACGTCCATGTGTCTTTTATGTTATTTTAAAAAGGTATTTACAGTGAAGAAGTCATTGGTCTTCTTCCTTCTCCAGCTACTGATCCTTCCTCTTTGTTTCCAATGTTTGCTTCCAGTTGCCAGGTATTATCAGTACTTCCTGACTGCATGTTTGAGCAATTTCAGACGGAAGAAGTTAATTCTTCAATTTTATCATCATAGCTTTAGTGGTTGGTGTGTAAATTTGAATAATAGTGGAATTAACTGGTCTTTCTTATAGATATATGGATATTATCACAGGGTTGTACTTCAAGACAGATCTAGATATGTTCTTTTCAATGATGAATGTGATGCCATTCCTTCTCAATTTTTCATTCCCCATATAGTAAACCATTTGACTGTCAGATTCATAATGGCTAATGCCAGTCCATTTCAACTCACTGATACCTAGGACTCCTGGAGTCTTGGTGTAGCATTGAGAGTCCCGTGTGGCACTGTGGGTTAATGCACTGGACTGCAGTCGGTTTGAACCATAGGTGAACAGTTCAAGCTCATCAGCCAACTTCTTGGACACCCCTTACAGGGTCGCCATGGGTCAGAACCATTTTGACAGTGCTTAACAACAACAACGCCTAGGATATTGATGTTTATGCGTTCCACTTCATTTTTGACAATTTATAATTTTCCTAGATTCATACTTAGTACATTCCATGTTCTAATTATTAATGGACGTTTACAGTTGTTTCTCTTCATTTTGAGTTGTGCCCCATCAGCAAATGTAGGTCAACTACTTTGAGGAGGCATCTCTTCCCCAGTTACATTTTGAGTGCCTTCCAACCTGAGGGGCTCATCTTCCAGCACTATATCTGACAATATTTTGGAGCTCTTTATCATGTTTCGATAGTCAGTATCTGGTGCTGACAATGTCTCACTGGTATTCATTAGGTTTTCCGTGACTAAATACTCAGAAGTAGTCCATCTCTCCTTCCTAGTCTGTCTTTGTCTGGAAGCTAAGCTAACACCTGTCCACCATGGGTGACCCTGCTGGTATTTAAAATACCCATGGGCATAGCATCCAGAATCACAGCAACATGTAAGCCACCACAGTATCTCCTGAAGACTTAAAAACCGTATAGTAATTTAGCTTAATTAGTAAAGAATGTCTGCCTTGAGCGTTGTGCTCTTTTAAAGAATCTCATGAGACCAAGTTGACAGCCACAAAAAGGTTATATAGGAAGTTTTGGTGGGACCGTGAGTTTTGTGTTAATGGGAAAGGGACATTTCGGGAAAGGAGGGTGAGAATGGTTGCACAGCTTAAATATAATCAATGTTACTGAATTGTAGAAATTGTTGGATTGGTTTACACTCAGTTTTCAACAACAACAAAAAAAATGTGTATGCATTTATTTTGCTGAAATGTGCTAATTCTGAACATGTACACTTGACAGTGTAATAGTACTTTAAAACAATGTAATCGTCCCAGATACAAAATAACTATTGAATTGGTTGTGATTTGCTTACCCACTAATGTCTTCACAAGGCTTGTTTAGTTTTGAAATTAACCAAAATATAACCAGATCTTTGTCTGTTATGGCTATAAAATTTAATTATTGAAAATTAGGTCGGCATTGCAAAAAATGATACAATTTTGTTTCCTGGAAGTGAAAAGGACTTAGAATACTTACTGATGAAGATCAGAGACCACAGCCTTCAGTATGAATTGAACCTCAGTGTAAAGAAAACAAAAATCCTTACAACTAGACCAGTAAATTACATCATGCTTGTGGGTTAATGCGCCAGACTGCAAAGCCATATGAACTGCAAGGTCAGTGGTTCAAGCTCACCAGCTGCTACTTGGAAACCCTATACAGGGTCGCTATGAGTCAGAATCAACAGCACTTAACAACAAATGGAGAAAAGATTGAAGTTGTCAAAAGGCTTCATTTTGCTTTGGAGCTACTATCAACACTCATGGAAATAGCAGTTAAAGCATTAGGTAAATCATCTGCAAAAGACCTCTTTAGAAAAGAATAGCCAAAACATCACTACAGAAAGCTTGTAAGTGATTCTTCAGCCTGTAACTGATTGGAATGTCTAAAGAGGGGGCTAGAACTTGCCCAGTGAATGATGCTTCCTGCAGAGCTTTTGCAGTGTATAAGACCTTAGGTGGAATTCTGGTTCCCATCCATAATCTTCTGAAGTGGGAAATTTCCACTTGAAAAGACAAGTAGACCAGCCTGGAGCAGGTAGAGGAATAGAAGATACTTCTTGAAAGAAAGACCAGCAGGAAAAATCAAAAACAAAATGGCAGTCTGATTGACTACCACAAAAAACAAACAAGTTGTTCACCAAGGAGCCATCAAGGCAAGCAGTCAAGTCCCCTCAGCAAACCCCTTCCAAGACTGAAACTCAAAGGGAATACACGAGCAGGCATGTAATCTTGCTGGCAATCACGTTTGTCTACCAATAAGGGGAAGTGGGGGGAAAGCAGCAGTGAAGATGTGGACTAAATCTGACCATGTTCAATAGGCTCCTGTCAGCCTGGAGTGAGACTAGGGGACTCCTGAGCCCATGGACAGGGACATAGCCACAGAGGCTAGAGCGGAGAGTGAAGTGTCCAGTTGATATGAAGTGAGGAGAAATGCACAAGAACTCCCATACTTGCAGATAGTACCCATTTGATCATCCAATGGCTGGATGATCAGAACTTGACTAGAGGAAGAAAGAAGAGGAAAAAGTGTAACCCACTACAATTTGGTGAACTTGACCTATACTTATGGATGTAGTAGCTTAAAAGAGGGACGGAATCTTCAAAACAAGGATCATTCTCACCCCCCCACACACACAGGGGTGACAGATGGGCAACTTAGACATTGGCTGCCTAAAATGGGGGGCTATAAAGGCACAAAGTGACTGGCTTACAAGTTTTCAAGAGGGAGTTTAGTTTCAGAGGATACAAGGGAAGGTAGAATCTCCACTGAGTGGTTTTCAACCTGTCTAGACGGGTCTGGTGAAAGGAGATGGGGATAAGACTCCTGTGGTTTAGTAGTGAATAATTGTTATCAGGATTAATTGCAGTTGTTGCAAATGTAAAAGTAGACATTTTGTAACAAAGAGAGGGGAGTGGTTGATCTTGCAGTCCAGGAGCAGAGGACCCTGGGACCATGAAGGTAGAAAAGCGAAGTGCGGGAACCTATTCAGATAAGCAGCGACACCAGATGTGGAGGCAGAGACGATGATGTGGAGAGCTGGAGTGGCTAGGGACTCTAGACTCATGGAGGGAGAGGGGCTGTGTACTGGGCCCGGTGGGGGGGGGGCGGGGGAGATGGGGCCCAGGCTTGCCGGGTATGCCCTTTGGTTGTTTGATTATATATTCCTGAGTGCTTCGGTATACATCCAAAAAACAAAAACGGAATAGAAGCAAATACTGTTGAATGATGATTCATGGAGAGGCTTGTAATCATTGCAATGAAGCGAAATATAGGAGTGTAAAGCTGATGTTCTCCCATGTAAACAATTCACAATAAAAACTTTAAAACAAAAAACAATCTCTTTAAAGTGTTCATGGGCAAAGACGTCTGAAGACTAAGTTGTAGTATTTTCCTCGCCTCATAGGCATGTGAAAGTTGAACAGTGATTAAGAAAGACCATAGAAGAACCAATGCATTTGAATTAAGGTGAAGAAGCCAGAAGAACAAATAAATTTATCTTGGAAGAAGTACAACCAGAATGCTCCTTAGAAGGATGACAAGACTTCATCTTTTGTACTTTGGAAATATTATCAGGAGGGATCAGACTCTGGAAAAGGACATCATGCTTTGAAAAGTGATAGGTCATTGAAAAAGAGGAAGACACCCCCACCCCACCCCCAACAAGATGGATTGATACAGTGGCAGCAACAGTGGGCTCAAACATAACAATTGTGAGGATGGCACAGGATTGGGCAAAGTGTCGTTCTGTTGAATATAGGATCCCTGAGAGTCAGAACCTACTCAACAGCTGCTAACAACAGCTACAACAAAGATACCCTAGGAGAGCAGTGAATTAAGTGTTAGGCTGTAACCACATGATTAGTTTTTCAAACCCACCAGCCTCTTCAAGGAAGAAAGATGGGGCTATCTGCTTCCAAAGAGATTCATTTGCAGTGTCAGAAACCCTCTGAAGAAAGTTCTACACTGTCATATCACTTTGAGTTGGAATTGACTTACAGCAGTGGGGTTCTTGAACAAGGATATTTTTGCAATTCATCTTTTGTCGTTACAGTGTCATCAAGTCAGTTCAGAATCATAGCAACCCTATATAGGGTTTAAGAGGAGCAGTTGGTGGGTCTGAATAGCCCACCTTGTAGTTCAAACTGACCTTGTGGTCCAGTGTGTTATCCTCCAGCTTAATCTTATTAACTCCTCTTCAAACAATATTGGTTTATATGTCTACTTTAGTTAACTCCTTGCTTTTTCACCCTTTACAGGAATAGAAAGTTTTTACTGTTTTAAATTTCCATCTCAATTGTGTACATTTTAGCAAGTTGAACAGACTTTATGTACCTAATTCTATGCTAATTTATGCTTCAAATTTTATGACCACTTATGTACTATTTACTTGTTTTTTTTTTGTTTTCAGATTTATGGACAAGAAATTATCATGTAAGTTTTTCTAACTCAGTTGCTTTATATTTGTATTTTGACAATATCTCATATATGTAGGTATTAGATATATACAGTTCTGTTGTGCATAGCGCTCAGAACCAACTCCACAGGCCTAACAACAATATGCAGAACAATTTCATAAAAATTTAAAGCAGGCTTATCAGAATCCTAGCTAGATCATTTTACATTTAGTCCCTGGTGTTTTATAAGTTTAAAGAATTTCAGATTTTTCATTACAGGCAGAGTCCCCAAGTTAAAATGTTTAATTTACATATAAGCTGTAGTTGCAAACCATCCCCCTGTGCAGCCTATTTAAAAATCACGGTACACAACAACAAAATTATTAACAGCATTAATTCTGTTAATTGGATTGGTTTTAGTTTTGGAGGAATAGGTGTGTGTTTGTTTTTTGTTGGTGGTGTTTTCTGTTTTTTTTTACTTAAACCAGCAGAAATTTATTTTTTCTACAGTTCTAGAAGTCCAAATTCAAGGCGTTGGCAAGAGGAAGACCCTTCCTCATCTCTTCCAACTCCTGGCAGCCCTGAGTGTTACTTGGTTTTTGACAACAGATTTTTTCATATTGTGAAATTTGAAGATGTATCAACCTTTTTCCTTTAACCACACTTTATAGGACTTACACAAGGAACAATTACTCTGTTTCATAGGAACATGTAAGAAAAATACATTTGTTCAACTTTATGAAAAATCTGATCTGTATACAGTTTTTGAAGTATACACATATCCCCCTTTATCGAAAGTTTGTTTTATATCATTTTACCTTTACAAAAGACCTACATTAGTTAGTATATGTTTTCACTAACCAAAAGAAGTTCAAAGAGGATTTTCTATTTTACAGGAAAAGGATTTTAAAAAAAACATGAAGCATTTGTTTTGCAGCAAGCCATTTAAGAGGCCGCTCATACCACTAACTGTAAGAGTGGTACCACCAAGCTCCCACACAAACTACACTATCTCATTGAGCCCCCATATCTTTGAACTGTGTCTGAACATTATGTTGTTAAATACCATCTAGTTGGTTCCAACTCATAGTGACCTCGTATAGGATTTCTGAGAAGCAACCTTGGGGTTCAAACAGTACCACACCAGGACTCTATTTGTTAGAGTTCTGGTGTGGCACTGCAAGATGATGTGCCACAAGTTGTCAGTTCAAACTCACCAGCTGCACCTCTGAAACCCTGTACATGGTCTCTATGAGTCAAAACCAACTTGATAGCACTTAACAATTTTAAATTTTGTATGTTATTTGGCTGCTTACATTTTGGATCTAGGTTCACTCAAAATTTTTCTCCCATATAAATTAATGGTAATTGTTTCTTTCCTGTGTTTTGACTTGCAAGATGTTTCATAGAAACACTCTACTTCCAGATAGTAAGGGGGGAATACCTATTTAAAGGTTAAAACCATGGGCAGACAACCTCACTTTGAATCCCAGCTCTACTACACAGCTAGTGTAGCCTTGAACCAGTTAAAGATCTATATTTCAGTTCTCACTGCAAAGTACAGCTACTTTATAGGATTCTTGAAATGGAATCTTTAACCCAATGCTTGGCACATAGTAAGAATTGTTTTTAAGTGCCACAAGTTGGTTCCAACTGACCTTGCAATCCAGTGCATTTTCTTGCAGCGCCATACCAGGACACCATAGTAAGAATTTGTTCTTGTTAATTGCCCTTGAGTCGGTTCTAACTCACAGTGATCCTGTATAGGGTTTCTTAGTAGGAACTCATAAGTTTGAAACACTGACCTTGCAGTTCAAACAGACTTTGTGATTATTTATTCTACAGCGCCACACCAGGACTCGTAGTAAGAATGTTATGTGCCGTGGAGTTGGTTCCGACTCATAGCGACCCTGTACAGGATTTCCGAGGCTGTCGATCTTTACATCTCTTGAATGCCTTTTTAATGTTAATTTTTAATGAATAATTCGATAGTGGTCAGTTTAATAATTTTTTCCTTTTTGGTAGTGAAATTAAATGGTGGCAGACATGTCCAAGGAATATTGCGGGGATTTGATCCCTTTATGAATCTTGTAATAGATGAATGTGTGGAGATGGCAACTAGTGGACAACAGAACAATATTGGAATGGTGGTAAGTAAAGATAGGAGATTTCTCTTAGAGATTTTTTTTCCCCCCTTTTGTAATATGTGTTAACTTTCCTTCTGTCAGATTCTTGGATTTAAATTGGAGGGTTTTTGTGTTTGCTTTTTTTGGGGAATTAGTAATTCCCAGAAAAAGCAAATTACTTAGAAATCGACTCTCCTCTCCCTTTTAGTTTAACATAGCAATCATTCTGTTGCAATAATACCCCAGTTACCTGTAGGTTAAGATCCGATTGTACTGATCTGATGTCATTAAGTGCCGTCAAGTCGGTGCCAACTTATATAAGGTTTCCGAGAAACAGCTGGTGAGCTTGAACTGCCAACCTTGCAGTCTAGTGCATTAACCCACAGCACCATTTTTTGAGGTTTATTCTCTATTAGAGGTCCATAGTCCTTCATTAGATTGTGGTTTTCTCAGTTGCCTTTTGGAATCAAATTAGTCTGGTAGGCAACATAAGGACTTTCAGAGTTCCACTGGTCGTTCTAATGTGAAGTCAAGATGAACTGTTTTCCAAAATAATAAATCATACTTAGGCTCCGCCCCAGAACAATTCCCTTAATATTTCACTTCAACCCAGGACACACCTAAAAAATAGTCAAAACTCTGTTTTATGATGTATATAATTTAGGACCTCTTGGGAGAGTTGTGCTTCAGCAGCTCTGATTTGGCTGTGGCCGTTCTTTATTAGATAAGAGTGCTGTGCCCTTTCAGCAGATGGAAACCCTGAGCAGCACTTTGCAACAACTAGCACTAAGGTACAAAACTAGCACTAAGATACTAAGTATCTTCATGGAATTTCTGTGATGGTTTCTGATTGACTCAAAGACTCAAGCTTAAAACACTATGGCAAAAAACCACTGTATGGTAGAAGTGTTCACCAACTAGCCTAATATTCTGTATGTGATTTGAAATGATAAGGAAGTGTATAAAGTCCTCCAATCTGAAAATCTTAGTCATCTGAAATAACTTCTCTCCACCACTATCCACTCCCTAAGCAAGTGCATGAACAAATTTGGTAAGGGGCTAGAAAAGTAGGCTAATTGTTTTTCATGCTTTGATCAGTAAGTTATGGTGTTCAGCATCTGCTACAAATAAATCAGGAATTTTAAAATAAGGAGATAAGCATGTTGCTTAACTTTTCCATGTATCCATTCCTAACTTATGAGAAGATTGAGCGTATGTCGGCTCTTTCAGTCCCCACTTTTATTTTCAGGATATTCTCTCCTGTCTCACTTTCTCTGACATCTTCTCTTCATATGCATTTGTTACTATTACCTGCCAGGCTCTGGGAAACTCACATCCCACCTGGCATATTCATTTCCAGCTGTCTACTGCGGTCACTGAGTCGGTCTGACTCAACAGCACTTAGCAACAACTGTGATAATGAAAAATATACATACAAGTTCATTTGTTTATTTACGTCACAGGTATTTATTGCATCTGGTGTAGCACTGCAGCATAATTCATTGGACTGCAAAGTCAGCGGTTCAAACCTACCAGCTGTTCCTTGGAAACCCTATTCAGGGTCACATAACAATATGTGCTATTTTAAGTACTGAGGACATACCAAGCAAAGTCCCAGGCTTTTTGGAATTTACATTTGAGTTGGGGAGAGAGTATTACTGTGTATACAAATTAGAATGAAAGGGGGAGAGAGCACATTATAGATCTCTCCCAGTTGCCTGCACCACTGCTTCACTTTGAACACTTCAAATCATTAGATTTCCCATCATCATCCCCTTATTTTTTCCACCTGTCCAGCTCCTTGGCTTGATGTATGATTTCGTTGTCAAGTCCATCAGGGAGTCCTTGGTTTACTGTCCCCTAACTTTCTTTCATCACACAATGATTAAGCACTCATCTGGTCACTAAAAGATTGGCAGTTCAAACCCACTTGGGCTCCGTGGGAGAAAGTACCTAGTAATCTGCGCCTATAAAATTGTTCTTGTTCTTCAGTACCATCGAGTCAATTCTGACTTGTAACAAACCTATTTTAGGATTCCCGAGGCTGTAAATTTTTGCAGCGGCAGAAAGCTTCAACTTTCACATGTGGAGCAGCTGGTAGGCCCAACATCAACCTTGTGGTTCATAGTCCAGTGCTTATCCTACAGAGGCACCACACTTACTATAAGATTATTGTTGTTACGCTCATAGTGACCCTGTATAGGGTTTCCAAAACTTTAAATCTGCACAGGAGCAGAAAGCCTCATCTTTCTCCCACAGAGCGGTTGATGTGCTCAAACCATGGACCTTGTGGTTCAAACAAAGTCCATACTACTTATCATATGGAACCACCACACTACCCCCTATAACATTGTTGTTGTTGTTAAGTGCCGTCGAGTCGGTTCCGACCCATAGCGACCCTGCCAGGGTTTCCAAGGCTGTAAATCTTTACGGGAGCAGAAAGCCTTATCTTTCTCCTGAAGAACAGCTGATAGTTTCAAACTGCTGACCTTGCGGTTCACAGCCTGATTCGTAGCCACTACGCTACCAGAGCTCCTTCTACTCTGTCCCATATGGTTGCTATGAGTCAGAATTGACTCAACAGCACAGAGCAGCCTCCTTCCACTTTCTCTTTTTCTACCCCTGTTGAGCTTTAGTTAACAGCTGTTTCACCTATATTCTCATAGGTAGCCTTGCTTGTCTTCACTTACGGAATGTGTACTGTGTTCCTAGAACCTTTTTATTACACCTTTTCCTGCTTCTAATCTCCCATTCAGATTCTTAACACTGGTGCAGAGCTATGCTTGTCATTCCCTTAAGTGTGCCTATTAAATGAATTGTGTTCTTTTCTAATGTATCTTTCTCTCCTTAGGTAATACGAGGAAATAGTATCATCATGCTAGAAGCCTTGGAACGAGTATAATAGCTGTGCTAAGACGAGAAATGCGTGATTTCCATGTATCCCCACTCCAAAAGGCCTGTTTGACTCTGATGTAAAAATCAGGCTGTGTACATTTTTCATATTAAATTTTTTTGTTGTTGTTAAATAAACTTTTGTAATAGTCAAAAACACTTTCAACTGCTGTGTATTTTGAGTAGAATCCTGACGTGGCGCTGTAGGTTAAGCCCTAGATTGCTAACCATTAAGGTCAATAGCTCAAACTGGGAAACACAATACAGGGTTCACTATGAGTCAGAACTGACTCAACAGCATTTAAAATATTTCAAGTATAAACACAAAAACAGTGAAAAACAAAGTAATGATGTAGTTTATTTCAATGCAATCATTAAGTGGGAAATATTTTTAATGGCAATAGAATTCCAGAGAAAGGCATAACAGTTTATTGTGTTTCTTTGTGATGTATAGAGGGTAGCAAGAATGCTGCCCAAAACATACATTTAGTTTAAGGTGAGACTGATTCCAGTAGGCTTGAGTGTTAAAATGGAAAAATCTATGTTAAGTCAAAACAAACACAGCACAGATTATTTTGTCAATGAAAAAAAAGAAAGCTACAAACTTGAGTTCTGAAACAGCTTCAATTTTAGAAACTCAGAATAATAACTTAGATTTACTTTAACTTTTCCAAATCTATTATTTCAAGTATAACACAACAATAAAGTAATGACGTTGTTTACTGCAATTATTAAATGGGAAAAGGTTTTTAATACAAGAGTAGAAAAACATTCCAGTGTATTGTGTTTATGACAGAGGGCAGTAAAATGCTGCCTTTAATAGGTGCATCTAGTTCTTGAATTGTATTTTGTTGCTCATAAGGTATCTGGTATACTACAGATGGTTGGATTATAACAATCTTAAAAGGCCTAGGCAAATACTTAAGCGTTTTGTTTTGTTTTTTTAAAGCATGTGAATATTGAATCACTTTAAAACTAGTAAATGGAGTATACACAGGTTGTTGTTGTTTTTTAAATCACGGAGCACATGTTTATCTAATTTGGTACTTTCCACTTAAAAAGCTGGAATGTTCAAAATCAAATCTGGTGTGACATGCAATACATTTTTATTTTTCCATTCTTCTCCAGCAGCTCTTTTTAATTTAATCTTCATCCAATATAAAAATTCTTTAATACTATGGTTGTATAATTTGAAGGCTTGATAGCAGAGTAGTTAAAGCACTCGACAGGAAGAAATGCAGAAATTTGCTTCCATAAATATTTACAGCCTTGGAAACCCTAATAGTCAATTCTGCTCTATCCTATAGTGTTGTTAGGAGTTGGAATCAACTAAAAGTTAAAAGTGGCTTGGTATTAAAACTCTCAAATAGGCCTAATAAACAAGACCTGTTTTGCTCTTCGAGGAAGCAATTTCAGATACCCTGGTGAAAGAAATACATATCTGCATAGCACATATCAAGTCTACCAGTAGTAGAAATTAAATTATCTTAGCTATATAAGGAACCATGGTGGTGCAGTAGGTTAACTATTTGAGTGCTAATTACAAGGATAGGAAGTTCATATCCATCAGCTCCTCCAGAGAAAAATGAGACTACCCTTAAAACTTTGGAGTCTTAGAAACCCTGTGGTACTCCCTATTCTACTTTACTACATGGTCCTTTTCTAGGATCGCTGTGCATTGGAATCAATTTGGCAGCAGTGGATCTGGAATTTTTTTGGTAGCTATTAAAGTGTTTGCCAATCTTATACAATATTCATTAAAAACAAAAAAAACAAGAATGCCTCAACATACTTTAAATCCCCAGCATACAAACTGCAGACTTAGGACAACTTCTTTAATGTTATGTAAGTTTGCCTTCATATTGAAATGATCGAACTAACTCTACTTGCAACACATTCTTCATCAGTTACCTTCACTTGCTGCATGTGAAGTTGTTAAATCACTGAAAAGACTTGGTGCCTTTTACACTAAAGAACGAAATGCACCTATTCCAACTTATCTACCATTCAACTTAAATACTTATTTATGAACTGATCTGGTTTATAACCAGCGGACTGCCTATAGATACAGAATTGGTTCTTAAAGTTTGCACATCTGCCTCAGGAAGACAATATCCTTGGGGTGGTTCCAGTGTGAAGCCAACATTGAAGACTATTGCTGTAAACTGAGGTTTTAACAACCAATTTTTACCCATAATGCCCCAGTAAATTTTGAAACAAATTATTTACTACTTTGAGCCCACCGAATTTGGTGAAGTTCGGTGCATTCTTAATAAGCAACTTTGCCAAGCACTCTGGAGTGAAAAGTTGCCTCTGCTGTTGGACTATCAATGGAATTTACTGTCCAGATTACTGCTAGAGCTCTCAGTGAAGAGAAATTCTTTGCAAAAAGGGATCTTTAACAATGAATTGGATTTCTTAGGACTTTTTAAGGTACTAGCCGTTAGTAAACATCTTAACACCCCTTCTTACAAAGGAAATATTTTACTTACAGCTGACCCAGTAGTCTTAAGTCCACAGTTGAAATTGTACATAATGATTCTCAACCCTTGCTACACAGAACCACTGTGTAAAATTTCTGTCAAGTAGATTCTAACTCAGCAACCCTATATAGGGTTTCCAAGGAGTAGTGGTGGGTTTGAACTGCCAACCTTTTGGTTAGCAGTCCAGCGTTGATTATCTCCATACCCAGACCACCACCGTGTTGTTGTTGAGTACTGTGGAGTCGGTTCCTACTCAACTACCCTGTACAGGGTTTCCAAGGCTGTAAATCTTTATGGGAGCAGAAAGCCACATCTTTCTCCCGCAGAACGGCTGGTAGTTTCAAACTGCTGACCTTGAGGTTAGCAGCCCGATTGGAACCACAACGCTACCCAAGCTCCTTGGACCACCACCTCAGAACTATAAAAACTGCAATGCCAAGGCCCTATCCTTGTGGATCAGTACTTTAAAGTTGTGGTGAGGGTTTTATAATGGAATGCCAATTTCTTAACCCATATATTTGCTTTTCAATTTACTTGAAACTTTTGTATAACTTCTTAAGGTTGTATTATGAACACTTCTAAATTTCACCCATAATAAAACTGAGAAAGTAGTAATCAAAAGATAACATTCCTAAAATCAAGGCTTTGGGCATGCGCACATTTACTGTGAAAACGGGTATAAATTACTAATGCCAGTCATAAGATACTAGCTCGCATAAATGATCTGATTGAAGATAAGCTCAACTAGGAAACTCAATGAACTACCTTAAAAAGAGGTCAAATGTAATCACTAGCACTTTCTCAAAGGTCTCAGCTTAAAATGCTCCAAAATCTTATTCAAAATCCAGGACCCTGCCCCTAGGCCTACTTACTGAATAAGAATCACCAAGAGAAGAGCTTGAGAAAGCTGTACATTTAAAACACCTGGGTGACTCTCATAATCAGAAAAGTCTGAAAAACTGAGTTAATAGAAAAAGAGGAAGTGAGCAATTTTTGGAAATGGCTTAAGTTCAAGTTACGTCTTCTTACTTAATTAGAACCTTGTATTTTTCCATGGCCCACAGGGATCATTTTTGTTAAACAATGCAAAATACCCGATTCAAAAATCAACTCTGTTCAGATTTTGTTCTTTTTCCCCAATGATAATCCATTTGGAACTAGAAAAGGAAAAGAGTGTTACTCACAGTTCAGTTTTAAGCTTTTCATATAAGCCCTCCTGGTCAATCATGTCTGTATGCTCGTTCCAGCGGTGATAGGCCAAGAGAGCGGCATTGTGGGCTGCGATGGCGCTCATTTCCATGGCACTCGCAGCGCACTCTATGCCATTGAGATAATAAAGCCGATCGTGGAGTATGATGGAGGGGCATTTCTCTGGAGGCTTATAGTGAGGGTAGGCAAGCCAAGGCTTTTTCACAGCATAATCGTAAGACAAAAAGAGTTTTAGGATTTGCTCTTTAGTAAGAACGTCCTGGGAAAAGATCTTCCAAACATTTGTTCCATCTGTTGATGGCTCAGGAGTATCTTTTTCTTTTACAGGGGACACAATCCCAATGCTGTTAATGAACAAATCTGGATTATCAGTGGTTAAGATTGCACTGAGACCAAATTTATCTAACGCTCTAGAACTAAAGATTGTTGTATTCAACTGTCCCTTAACTAAAGTTGTCACTATATGTTGGTAGTATTGATTGAATTCTTCTATCGGAGGGTCAAAATTGAGAAAAGTTATATTGGACATTTTTCGATTCAATGGAGTGGCCACCAAGACAATGTCATAGATGTCTGAGTGGGTCTCAGATCCAGTTTGGTAGACCACTTTATACATCTTGGTGGGATTTCCTAGAGGAAATAAGGAAGCACACATGGTTTTAGTGTTTCTAACGTACTATATTTTATACCATCTAAAAATCTATACCTTTAGAACAGTTTCTCTGTAATTTTAAGGAATCCAAAGAAGTCTTATCCCTTACGGCAACTGTCCCTTGTATTAATATATTGAGTTCAACTTCTGACTCAAGATGAAAATATACAAGAATAAATCAGGGAGTTTTCACTTACGAGGATGGTTATTTATTAAACCCACAGAGTCATGCTTCTGTACTTTTGTGCATTTGGGGATGCTTATGCATGATACAGCATACACAACTTAAAGTTCCATCATCTGGAATAGTGAGTAACAAATGGCAGAAGAAAGAATTTCTCTGAAAAATCATTTTCTGCAGAGAAAATCAGAAACAAGAGAAGTTCAAGCTTACCTGTCTGCTTGGTCCTTGATTTTTCTATGTACATTACTGAGCCAGCTATAAGATTGCCTTTGGAAGCCTGAAGGAGCCCTGAGCAAACACGTTTATTGCCACCTTCTACTGCCCAAAGCCCAGATTCCGCACCAGCCAATGACACTGCTCCTATCGATGGGAGAAAAGTGTGTTTAAATTCTGACTGTAAGAAGACTATACTCTTTCCCTTCCTAAATAGGCGAGTTCTTCAGTACATGTGGCCAAATGCAAGTTGGCCTGTTTAGCATGATTAATGAAAAGTATTAACACACAGTTAGGACTGGCGACATAATTTAAGAACCACATGTTACTAAATGAAAACACAGGTTCCCCTGCTCAATAATTAATTTCAGAATGGTTGGCAGTAGGCCATTAAACCGGGCAGGGGAGGTCTTCTTAGCACAGGACCCTGTTTGCACAGGTTACAATCTGCATCCAATACTGAATCAAAATAGCTTTGAGACACAAAAAAAGAGTGCAAAATCACTCTGATACAAAATCACTCTAACAAAAGGTGTTACCAATATTCAAAAACAATGACTGGGGACTTTGACTAAATTATGTATTACCTTCATAATTAGAATGATCTTAAGTTGTCAGAGCCATGGATCTTCACCCAAAGATCCATTCAAACTACAAGTTTCACTTACATTGCCATTAGTAGTTTGTTCTGAGCAGCCAAACGCAAAGCCTCAATATCAGCCTCTAAATCAGAAGATTACAGACCTCTTTGAGAACCTAATACTCGATTTCTCAACTTCCAAACTGTACATGTGGCAGGCGCACCCTCCTATCACATTCTATGGCAGCCCAGACATGTTTTGATTCTGACTTTGTAGAAGGTCCCTTACCCCACTCTCTTTTTCTAAGTGTTCTGTTCTAGGAATTATGCTCCAAATGTCTCCAGATACTGTCATATGCCCCACACCACCACCACTCTGATAGAAGAGCCAATGAACTAATGAAAGCTAAGGACATTTTCCCCATAAAAATCCTTAACTATGTAATTTTGCCAACAATTTCTGAGGTTTTACAGTGAGAGGTGGCCTTCCCCAGCCCATAGCCTTAAAGTAAGAAACTACTCTTGCATCAGGCAAGCCCCTTTGTGAACTATGTATTGTTCCTTACAGTTCCCTGGCTTACCCACAAAACCGTTGATGTTCATGCTTTGGCCGTAATTAACCCGCATGACAGGAATAACAATTTCATTGAGGAATTTCTCAGAGAAGCCTGCTTTCTCCAGGGTTTCAAGAAGGGTTCGGTTAAGCATTCCAAGGATATCGTCCCCGCCTAGAGCATGCAGTAACTTCTCTACACTACTGAAGGCATAGTCATGAGATTGGTAGCGGTAGATCCTTTAAAAAAGAAAGGGACATGACCATTAGACATCAAACAAGATGAAAGGGGAAGGCAAGTGAAAAGGGATATAGGGTTATAAGAACCTAATCTTTCATGTTTCCTTCTGATGAGTTTCCACCTATCACAGGAGATATAGCTTAGTTATCCTCTTGAGTAAAATAAAGCCTTCCCTGGGTCTCCTGGGAGCTGTTAGTCCTTTCCTCCCTCTTCTTTTAGAAGTCCATTATCCTTTGTAAGCACACTTCCTTTTACTACATTAATATGATCACTGGGATACTCCTTGTTCTCATTTATCTTGTATTCTCAAGCAGTACTAGGTTTGTCTGAAAATAAATGTTATCTTCTTATCTACTTGCCCTAATCCTCTCTACCTATCCCCTATCCCAGTCCCAAATAACTGGCCATCCTCCATGTCATCCTCCATTCTGCTTCCCCTACTGATCAACAGGAAACATCCACAATCTCCCTAGCATCTCTCTGCTACTCTGTTCTCATTTCTTGTTCTTAGTCAGGATTTACATTCAAAATGAATAACTGATCTACCTGCTTCTACTTTCTTTTGAAAATATGCTCATTTTCTTTGAAACATGCCCAAATCTCCTCAAGACCCAAAACACTATGAAATCCCCAAATCCTAAGATACCTTGCCATGCACTTATTCAAAAAGTTTGCTTACTATTTGTTGCATATTAAATAAAGCCTAGATCATTTTATCTGACTTTTAAAGAAATAATCATGGAATTTTAGAGTTGAGTTCATGGAAGCTGATTCCTCTATTCCAACCGCCAACCAATGAAGAAACAAAGCAGAAGAGGTGAAAGAATCTGTCTAGAAGTCATGTGGCAAATAGAAGGCTCATACCCAACTTGCCTGCTCTGCCCTCCACCACATACACACTCAAACCCTTCACTGAGCACACCTGATCCATTCATTGGCTTCTAAATATGCATTCCATATTGCCTCCCCATTACTGCAGCACAAGCTCTTCCTTCTAACCTCTATATAGCTACAGCCTCTAACCTCTGAACACCTGCATTTCCTCACAGAGAACATTAGTCTCATATCTGGAAAACCTTGCCAACTTCTCAATCCACAGTGAAAGCAACTTCAAAAGTCCCATAAAACTTAAGACCCATGCCACTCACTCATTCAGCACTTAATTACTTTACATCATTTAATTCTCATAAAATACTACCATTATTTCTCCAGCACTTTCTGGATTTAAAGAACATTCATGTAAGTTATTTCAGGCAGTAATTCAATACATATTCTTCAGGTTGTAAACAGTACACAGTTCAGAGATGACACAGATCTGGCTCCCTTCCTTTAAGAAGCTCACAGTTAGGGACAGTTTGTAAGGCACATGGGTAGACAAAACAAAGGAAGGAATAAGGTACAACTACAACACTATACAACCTCAGAAATCCTGTGTAGGGTCACTATGAGTTGGAACCAATTCCACGGTACTTACCAACAACAACAACAACACTATCCTGGGAGTGGCGCTGTGGGCTAATGCTTCAGACTGCAAAGTTGTTTGAACTGCAAGGTCAATGGTTCAAGCTTACCAGCTGCTCCTTGGAAACCCTATACAGGGTCGCTATGGGTTGGAATCAACTCGATGGCACTTAACAACAACAACAGTGCTATCAGTGATCAAGGAAGGAGAGGTTTCCTTCAAGTTTCTTCTTTCAGAATGCATTAAATTACTAGAAAGCAGGAGATAATGCCATATACAAGGGGGCTTTCAAAAAGTTTGTGGGAAAAATCCATTACTTTTCAATTCTATTTTTCCCCATAAAATTTGAAGGCCCCTCATTCATTTCAATATTATACCTACAGTCTAACCATTGTTATGTGCCATCAAGTCAGTTCCAACTCACAGCCACCCTGTATAGTTTCCAAGGAGCCATCGGTGGGACTAATCTGCTGACCCTGTGGTCACAGTCCAGGGCTGATCCTACAGTGCCACACTAAGAATCCGTCTAATAGTACAGTATACAAAATGTTGCATCAAGTTCTACAGGAAAACTGATTAGAGATCAGTGCTAAAGTCAAAAACCCAAAATAACTCCTCCCAACTATATCATTTGGCTTGCCGTCCTCAAGAGATTAGGAGAAGTAGGCAGAATACTGGGCTCCTCAGAAACTACACTGGATTATCTCAGGAAAGGAAGACTGAGATACTGATAATCATGAGCATGACGAAACAGTAGCCAATTAAATAAACGCATATGAAACCTTAAAAAAAACTAATTCCCCACATCCTCTGGAGGTGTGCACCAACCATACTCACACAAGTTTCCAGAGTAAAGGCTTGTTGTGAAGTACCTTCGAGTCGGTTACAACCCATAGCAACCCAGAATAGGGTTTCTGAGGAGCAGCTGGTAAACTTGAACCACTGACCTTGCAGTTCAAACAGCTTTACAGTTTGGCACATTAACCCACAGTGCCACACCAGGACTCCTCATAAAGAGTAAGATGGCACAGTATTTACCAACTAAAAACTGAGCATTCAAATAATGTCACATTAGAATTACCATTACACAAAAGTCAAATGTGAGAACTAGTAATTTCTGTTTATACATTGTTTTTCTTTTTAAGCTATATTTGTGTAACCCTTAACAGTTGCCAAAGAATTCTTATTAATTCATTTATGTATTCAACAAATATATAATGGAACACCTAGAGCTAGGCACTGGAGATATACGAGCCAACACAACAGATATAAAAATTAAAAATCCCTGCTCTCATGGATCTTGTATTATAGTCAGGAGCGAGAATAAAAATGAATGCAAAGTATCTGACAGACAAGAGGATAAATATTAATAAAGAACATCAGAACAAATACTAGGGGTACATGTGGTTGATAGGGTTGCAATTCTAAATAGAATGGTACAAAATTGTGTAGAGAGCTCAATGAAGGCTTCATCTGATCAAGACCTGAAGGAGGACAGAACACAAGTCCCTTAGTTATCTAGTGCTACTCAACATCATACCACAAGTGGGCGCCTATAACAAAGGTATCTCACAGTTTAGGAGACTTATTGTTGTTATGTGCCTTGGAGTCAGTTCCGACTCATAATGACCCTGCACAGGCTTTCTGAGACTGTAAATCTTTACGGGAGCAGAAAGCCTCATCTTTCGCCAGCAGAACAGCTGGTAGTTTCGAACTGCTGACCCTGAGGTTAGCAGCCCGATTCATAAGCACTACGCTACCAGAGACTAGAAGTCCAAATTCAGACTGCCAGCTCTAGAAGACTCTGTCACCTCTGAACAAAGATCCTTGTCTCCTTTCAGCATCTATAAGGCCCAACATGCCTTGGAGATGTCCATAGGTCCTGGCCTCAATCTTCCTCTGGATCCAGGAGCTTCACAGTGCAGGACCCCAGGTCCAAAGGCCACACTCCTCTCCCAGCTCTACTTTCTTGGTGGTAGTAGGTCCCTCTGAGCTCTGCTAGCTTGTTTAATCTCTTCTGTATCTCAAAAGAGACTGATTCAATCATTTCAGGAACAGAGGACCCTAGGACCATCAAGAGGGAAGAGCATGAGAAGAGGAATCCTAAGCAGAAAAGCAGCAACAACAGAAACGGTGGCAGAGACAGAGCAGCAGAGGACTCTAGACCCAAGGACTGAGAAAGGCAGTATGCCTGTGGGCAGGAGGCTGGCTTGCAAAATTTGCCCTTTTGGACACTTAAGCAAATGTATAGTTCAATGTGGTATGCGTACATCAAAAAAAAGAAAAAAAAGGTAACAGAGGTAAAATAGTTAGCTAATAGGGTATAGAGGGGATTGTAATCATTGAATGATTTGTTGAATGTAAAACTGATGATCTACCCTATAAACCATCACTCAATTCACAATAAAAACTTCTAAAAAAAAAAAAAGAAGAAAGAAATTGATTAAAGATACAACCTAATCTTATAGGTTGTATCCAGCCTCATTAAACATCATTATTGTTAAGTGCCATGGAGTCAGTTCCAAACTATAGTGACCTGGTATAAGGATTTCCAAGAAGCGGCTGGTGAGCTTGAACTGCTGACCTTGCGTTTCAAACTGACTTTATAGCCCAGTGCATTAACCCACAATACCACACCAGGACTCCCATTAACATCATAGAAGTGAGGATATACAAAAACAAGAATTAACTGGAAACAAGATCCCTTGAATGAGGACACTCAAGGGAGTAGCTATTTTTACCATCCAATGATATTTCATTAATTAAACTGGTGTATACTGGTGAAATAGAGTCCTGGTGAGGCACTGGTGGCAGTCCAAGCTCGCCAGCTGCTCCTCGGAAATCCTATACAGGGTTGCTATGGGTTGGAACCATCTCGATGGCACTTAGCACCAACTGACAAATACCAGGCTTCTCTCCCAGTTTTCGCTCATTGCAAGAAATAGAAATGTATGATGGGCAGCCCTATGAGCAACACATAATATCAACTGTGTTAATATTATGGATAATAACTCCATGAAGTTTAATAACTGATAATAATTCCAATACCAGATTGATGTCCACAATATATATAATGAACGCCTACAACTTACAGCAAAAAAAAAGAAGCTGGTTCTTTGAAAGGATTAACATAATTGCCAGGCCATTGGCAAACCTAACAAAAGAAAAGAGGGAGAAGACACAAATAGCATGCATCAGAAACCACATGGGTGATGTCACAATGGAACCAAAGGAAATCAAAAGGATAATAACAGACTACTATGAAAAGTTGTACTCCAACAAATTTCAAAACTTAGAAGACACAGATATAGTTTTAGAAAAACACGACCTGCCTAAATTTATACACAGTGAAGTAGAAAACCTGAACATACCCATAACAAAATAAGAAATTGACCAGGCCATCAAAAGACTCCCAACCAAAAGAAGTCCAGGACCAGATGGTTTCATTGGTGAGTTCTACCAAACATTCAGGGAAGAGCTGTCACCAATTCTACTCAAATTATTCCAGAATAAAGAGGAGGATTGAAAACTTCCCAA